ACGAGTTAGAGAAAGAGTACTCTTATTCCCTTATTTAAGAATAAAGGTGATGTACAAGAATGTGCCAACTATCGAGGGATTAAGCTTATGAGTCATACCATGAAACTTTGGGAGCGAGTGATTGAGCAAAGACTTCGAAGAACGGTGAAGATTTCAGAGAATCAATTCGGTTTTATGCCTGGTCGCTCAACAACTGAGGCTATTCACCTTCTTCGGCAACTTATGGAGAAGTATAGAGACGCTCACAAGGATTTGCATTTAGTGTTCATTGACTTAGAAAAGGCATATGATAGGGTACCTCGAGAAGTTCTTTGGTGGGCCTTAACTAGAAAAGGCATTTCACGCAAGTATATCAGCATCATCATGGATATGTATGAGGATAGTACTACAAGTGTTCGTACTAGTGTAGGGAGGACTGCGGAGTTCCCTATTACTATCGGAGTGCACCAAGGATCGACTCTGAGCCCTTTTTTATTTGCCATAGTCATGGATGAACTTACAAAGTCAATTCAAGACGATATACCGTGTTGCATGATGTTTGCCGACGATATTGTATTGATTGATGAGACGCAATCAGGGGTTAAAGCAAAGTTGGAAGTATGGCGACAGACATTGGAGAACAAGGGTTTCAGACTAAGTAGAAGCAAGACAGAGTACATGGAGTGCAAGTTTGGTGGAGGTAGAAGCAGTGGTAATAGCGGAATTACTTTAGATGGTAAGGAGATACCAGTCAGCGATATGTTCCGTTACTTGGGCTCCATAATTTAGAAGGACGGTGAGTTAGATGGAGATGTATCCCATAGAATCAGAACAGGGTGGATGAAGTGGAAGAGTGCGTCAGGATTTCTATGCGATCGAGGTATGCCGACTAGACTGAAGGGTAAATTTTATAGGACAGCAATTAGGCCTGCATTACTGTATGGCACGGAGTGTTAGGCGGTGAAACAATGTCACATTCAAAAGATGAGTGTGGCAGAGATGCGCATGCTGCGTTGGATGTGTGGGCATACTAGAAAGGACCGCGTGAGGAATGAGACAATTAGACAAAGGGTGGGAGTAGCACCTATTGAAGATAAGATGCGGGAGTCACGCCTACGGTGGTTTGGTCATGTGCATAGAAGACCGAATGATGCACCTGTCAGACGAGTTGAGATGTGTGGAGAAGAGGTAGGGAAGAGAGGGAAAGGAAGGACTAAACAGACGTGGGTTAGGGGAGTCAGAAGTGATATGCTTCTTCTTGGATTGGATGAGAGTATGGCTTTGGAGAGAGCAAAATGGAGGGCGGGTATTCGCGTGGAATAGTGATCTTGTATCATCTTTTCTCCTCTTTTTTCTTTCTTTCTTTTTCTTTTATATTTTTATCCTTATATATAAATATTACTTTATCCTTTTTATTTGATCTTTTATATGTATATTCATCTCTTTTATATTATCTTTTTTTATAATAGCTTATCTTTTTTATCTTTATTTTCGTTCTTTTCCTTTTGGTGATATCATATATCGATTCATGTTAGCCGACCCCAATATCATTTGGGACTAAGGCTTGGATGTATATTACATTTTTCATTAAAGTATAAAAGTAGTTAATTGTTACATTTTTCATTAAAGTGTAAAATTAGTTAATTGTTACATTTTTCATTCAAGTATAAAATTAGTTAATTGTTACATTTTTCATTAAAGTATAAAAGTAGTTGATTGTTACATTTTTCATTAAAGTATAAATTAGTTAATTGTTATATTTTTCGTTCAAGTATAAAACTAGTTAATTGTTACATTTTTCATTCAAGTATAAAAGTAGTTAATTGTTACATTTTTCATTAAAGTATAAAACTAGTTAATTGTTACATTTTTCATTAAAGTATAAAAGTAGTTAATTGTTAATTGTTACATTTTTCATTAAAGTATAAAACTAGTTAATTGTTACATTTTTCATTCAAGTATAAAATTAGTTAATTGTTACATTTTTCATTAAAGTATAAACTAATAAATGTAGTTAATTTTATTAGTCGCATTTTATTATTACTATTGTACTCATATTAAAACATTTGATACCATATAATATTTGTTACATTTTAAAGATGGACCGTGCCAGACATTCCGTAGATGTGGGTAGTCTCCAACGCAACCGAAGGAAGGAGATTGCGACAAGTCATCCTAGTTTACGCAAAGGCAAAGGTAAAGGGCGGGTCGGGTCTTCTTCTCAAAGTCGAGAAGATTTGGATGACGGATACCAAAGGCGAGATGAGGATGCGATGTCCGACGAGCAACTACAACAACTATTGGCGCAAAATGATGGTCGCTTTTTCCAACAACAAAACATCCCGGAGTCCATTGATGAAGAGGAGCTCGAGGATGACGATGCGGAGGAGGACGAGGGGGGCGACGGGACTCACGGCACCCCGCGGGATGATGCGGAGGAGGACGAGGGCGGTCCATCCCAAGTTGGTAAGAAATCTAAATCTCCTATTATAGAAAATAATTTTACAAAGAGGAAAGACCCAAAAACTGATAAATGGTACGCAAGTTGCGATCATTGCAAGAAGGAGTATAGTTTGGAAACTTCCGGCGGATACGGGAGCCTCAAAAGGCATCTTAAGTCCGCGCACTCTGTGGAGTATGCGAAAATAGACAAAGGGAAGGCTAACTTACTTGTTGAAGAAAATTTGCCTTATTTGTTTTCTGAAAGTCTTGCTTTTAAAGATTATGCACAAACTTGTTTAAATTCTCAATTTAGAAGTTATAGTCGCAAAACGGTTAAGAAAGAAATTATAAGGCTTTATCGTGCGGAAAAGGATAGGTTACAAATTTTTTTTGCAAACTTTGACGGCTGTGTTACTATTTGTTCTGACATTTGGGAGGATACTTATCATAATTTACATTATTTGGGCCTGACTGCACATTTTATTGATAGTGATTGGAATTTGCATAAACGTGTTCTTGCTTTTCGTGAATTTAATGATCGTCACACCGCTGAACATATTTATATTTTGATTGAACGTATTTTAACTGCGTATAATTTGATTGATAAGGTGTTTGCTATAAGTTTTGATAATGCTACTAATAATACTGCTGTTATACCTAGATTGCGTGAATTATGTGGTTCTAATACTTTGATGGGTAGATTTTTTTCATCAACGATGTGCATGCCATATTGTAAATTTATGTGTGCAAGACGGTATAAAAGCGTTAGGAGATGCTATGGAGGTAGTCGAGGGGGGGGGGATTAGACGTATTTGGGGCAATGGTCAACTTAAATTAAAATGACAAAATTATTTGATTGAAAGAGATGTAAAATATGTTGCTTTTCCTAAAGATTTGTCTATTCCGTGGAATAGTACTTATAAATTAATTAAAGTTCTTCTTAGATATAAAGAACATTTTCCTGCTTTTTTTAAGACAATATGATAACTATATTTTAAACCCCGCTCACATCGACACTTGCGAAAAAAATTATGATGTTTTGATATATTTTAATAATGCAACTGATAGTTTTAGTCATGTTTATAAACCTACCTCAAACAAATTTATTCGTGAAGTTGTAAATCTCGCCGGTGCTTTTAATGAATTTGAGAGTGCCGCTTACGTGAGTTATTTTTGTGGTTTTATGAAGGAAAAGTTTTCAAAATATTATGCACATATTCCGCATATTTATAGTATTGCATTTATTCTCGATCCTCGTTATAGACTTGGTAATTTGGAAGAATGTTTGAAGTTCTATTATAATGCTTTTTTTGGTCCATTTTCAATGTATGATGATAACGCCATAGATCCGCAAGTTGAATACAACGAGGTTAGCAATTTATTTTATGCCTTATTTAATGAGTTTCGTGCACAATATGACAACGCGCCCCCTCCCCCGACACACACATCTTCATCTAAAGGAAAATCAATTTTTAAATCTGCTTTTGGCAATCTTATGAAAAAACCTAAAACAACCCACACTACTGAACAAAGCGTACTTAATGAGATTTCTTTGTATATTAATTATGAGGTAGAATTTGACGAAAATGATGAGTTTGACGTTCTAAAGTGGTGGAAGTCAAAAGAAAGAATGTTCCCGATTTTGGCACGGATGGCTAAGCAAGTGCTATCAATGCCGGTTTCAACAATTGTCGTGGAACAAGAATTTAGTTCGGCCGGCAACGTTCTAACGGCATCTAGAACGAGTTTGAGCGCTGAGTCTCTTGAGACGCTTATATGCTACCACGATTGGTTGAAGGCCATACGTAGATGTCAAGAAGTTAGCATCACCCCCTCTCAAGACTTTATGGATGAATCAACAACCGAGGGTGGCTCCTATGCCAGAGATTCCGATTGATTAGTATTTTAAAGTTTATTATAAAATGTATTTCATGTTTTAATTTTTCCTTCAATTCTCTATTGTAATTTGTAAAGTTGTATTTCATATTTCAAATAAATATACATTCTTTTTTTATATGTAGCACTTCTCAAATTAATTAATTAATTAATTGGTTACAAACTTACAACTTACAACTTAGAATTTATTGTATTAGTATTTTTTGAAAAATGTATTTCATATTTAAGTTGTATTAAAAAGATTAAAAAAAATTAAACTAGGCCCCGACCCGACCCGGCGGGTGGCCCAGCCCGGGGCCCTGCGGGTGACCCGGCCTGAACCGGAACCGGGCGAAGGACAGGCCGGTTCCGGGCCCCCCTTTATAGGACCGGAGGCCCGGCCCAAACCGAGTCCAACCCTGCTAGAGGTGCTGAAAGAGGAGGAAGGGTTGTTGGAAGAGGCAGCAGAAGGGTGGTTAGAACTTAGAAGAGTTGCTGTAAGAAGTGATGGAAGTGGAGGTGCTAGAAAAGCTTCAGTAACTGGTGTTTTTTGGTTTATTACATTCGGAGGTTTTTGCTCATACTACAACTAGTGTGGTAAATGCACTTTATCAAAACACAAGTGCTCTATTTGTTCACGTTACAATAAAAACTCCGTATACTCTAATAGTCTAATTGTTGTATAACTTTGTCTCTATTTCTCTTTATGACATTATGTTATCGAAACAAATACAAATAAATTACAATTTGCCACACCATTTTTTGTATATTATAAAATAAAACACTAAAGAAACACAAGGGTGATGCATTTGTTAACAAGTATAACAAACTAGAGTAGCAATGTGAAAATTGCAAAGATGCATATGTACATCAGTACATGCACTTGATTCTGTGAATAGTTTAATGCGACTCAAATAGCCAAATAGGCAAATACATCTCATCCCAATAAATGAAATTAAAATTTTTAACTTTCACCATGAGGCTGACAGCTCATACATTCACTGGGAGCTTTTTCATCTGGAACTTCTATAAATGGTCTTAAGGATAAACAAATACAGAGAAGTCGCAAATATCAGAAAGTGTACATCACTGCATCAAGTGGGAGTAATTCACCCATGGGATGCATATGCGAGCAAGCCAAACACCCAAATGTTCCATACAGTCAAAGCTCAACTTCATCATAGTGCTCACTTATGCAATACACTCTTCTTTGACATTTTCCCCTTCTTGTAAGAGTGGTTCTATCATGACATAAAAAGTAGTCAAATCAAGTACAATAATACATGACATCCCTCCTGTGGTTACATTCACTCTCCTACTACCCTTCCAGGAGATCTCCATCCTGGAGGGGTAATATGAAGGAGATTTCCACCACTCATCTCGTCAGATGGATAGAGAAGACAGACAAATGGTGGAGATCTCATTGGAGGGAATATGAGAGAGAAGGCAACACAGAGGGAAGCCAGTTCCAAACATGACCTTAAAAAATGTGGTTGGGGAGGGTAGGAACTAGGAACTAAGGAGCGTGTTATGCAGGGATGAAGTCAGAGAGCATTCATCTAGAGTAAATATTTTAGCTTAATATTATTTCTCCATCATCACCATCGTCATTGATGATTATAATAAAATAAACCTGCAGCCATTATTTTTAAATAAACTCATGGTTTTTGCATCTATTCTAAAAGTGTTCACCATGGTTTTTATGCTTCAAAAACATTGTTTAACTTTGTAAACTTTCCCCTAATTAAAATTTACTATTTTATAGAATAATGTTAAAGGTAGGCTAAAGGACAATATGAGATACTACAAATAGTTAATTTAATATTATTTGTATGGGTTGTTCTCATGCAGATTTGGAATGGTTGGACCACACTCTCTGTGCAATGTGTGTTGCAGAGTGTGATTTCTCATCTCAAACACCATATGGATAATACCTACACATGTAACATGGGCAAGACTATAGCAGCAGGGCTGATGAGATTGAGTTTTTTTATGTTCAGTTCTACTTCGGAAAATTCGAAGGAAAATGAAATATGATCATATTTTACTTTTTTTTAATATTTAGAAGTCTTAGTTGGTATATAATAGAAACAAATAGATTATTATAGCACTGATGTATATTATATTCCATCCAATATTATAGCACAGGGAACAGAAATAAATACAAGTTCGAACAAAAATATACTAGTGAGAACTGATTTAGACATGCAGCATATCTATTGTGCAGGGAACATAAATATATTTAGATTTTTCATAATGCGTGTAAACAAAAATCTAAAATAAGTTTAACGAGTTCAGCCCTTTTCCTCAAATTTTCTTTCCTTCCTAGTTTCTTCCTTTAGTACTTTTCTCATTCCAAATATAGCCGTAGGCTTCTGTGTGTGTGTGGGGGGGGGGGGGTGCTGATTGTCTCTAACCTTTTGTCTTTCTACAGCTTCAACGTCAATCCTGTCCTGCCACTTGCTCTTCCTAAGTTTAATTGGTCTATTCCCGACATATTTACCTGATGATAAAATGGAGGATGCACTTAGCAAAGAAACCAAGATACAATAAGCACTTACGGCCCTAGGTTTTAATTGGATCTCTACTACCACACACCTTTCAGAGACAGCATGAGTCTTTTCATAGTTTAAGGTGGTACTTACGGGTCCTACCCGAAACACGCATAAGAGATCCAAAAATCTGTAGATGTGAAAATATTACCTACCGTTCATTTCTTTAAGAGCTGCAGCAAGGTCCAAAGGGTTTGAAAAACTTACAAATCCAAAGCCTTTAGTTTTACCAGTACGCTTGTCACGCACAACCTGCAATGTTGATAGTGCATTCAGAGGCAGGAGCAATTAATTAAGTTGAGTTAGGCTCAAAATCTCAAATGCTCAATTTACATGATATTAAAATCTGGTCCTGTAGTGGTTTGTGGGTCGCCGGCCCAATTGATGGTTAGGGGTAGGGATGGACTCGGGCCGGGCCAACCGGCCCGGAACCGGACCGGCCCGGAACCGGACCGGCCCGCTACTGTGCGGGCCCGGACCGGCCCGGTCACCCGGTTCTTGACCGGTTCGGGCCACCCGGCCCGGTGGTATAGCAGTCCGGGCCCGGGCCTCCATTTTAGTGAACCGGCCCGGCCGGGCCGGGCCCGGTTCGGGCCTCCAACGGCCAAATTTTTTAAATTTTTTTTTTTTTTAAATTGGAAGAGGCTCCTCCTAGCCGTTGGGAAGGCTCCCAAACGGCTCTATAGCCGTTGGGAGCATAGGAGGGGGGATCTGGGGGGTTAGGGGGGGTGGGGTGGGGGTCGGGTGGGGGTGAGGGTGGGGTATAAAAAAAAACTATTTAAACTCCTATTTTCTCTACATTTTTTACATCTCTTCTTCTACAACTCTTCCTACTCTCTAATTCTCTACTCTAAATCTCTCATATTCAATCATCTTCATTCTTCATCTTCTCCAAATTCTTTCTACATATATATAATTTATATAATTATTATATCTACTTATATATTAATTATCTATTTAAAAATATATACTTATACACATTCATATTATAATTCTTTACACATTATATATACTATATAAGTATATATAGTTTTCTTTAAATAGTTTTACTTAATTATATATTCTTTACACATTATAATTCTTTAAATTATAAATCAAATCACTTTTCTAAGTAAAAATAGTTTTACTTAATTAAAAAATTAAAAACATTTTCCTTACACAATATGTATAATTTTCTAAATCATATCACTTTCCTTACACTTTTCTAAATCAAATCACTTTTCTAAGTAAATTATACACAATATGTCAAACATTTTCCTCAATTCTCAAATGTACTTCCTATTTCAACATCATGCACTTGAATTTTGTTTTTAATAACAATTATTATAATAATATAATATATAAATAAATAAAAAATTAAAAGGACCGGCCCGAACCGGGCCCGGCCCGTGAACCGGGCGGGCGGCCCGGCCCGAACCGGACCCGCGGTTACCCGGGCCGGTTCCGGGCCTCCCAAACCTTGAACCGAGGCCCGGCCGGTTCACGGCCCGAACCGGGCCCGGCCCGAACCGGGTCCATCCCTAGTTAGGGGCAGCTTTTTGAGGCCCACTTGCCCATCCCTTTGGTCATCCTACCCGACTTGGGTTGAGGTGTGTTGAGTATGCCATATTGGTTCTCTATTAGGTATAAGAGTGAGGACGTGAGGTTAATATAACTTTTTAAGGATTCTTTGGGATAAGTTAGAGCTAATTTAATGATTACAACAAGTGCATGCCCTAATGCTATCGCCAGGATGCCACTCTTTTTATTGGTCGAAGATGTGGGGAGGCAGAGTTGGGAGAAAAAAGGTCTGAATTCACCATCTAGACACAGAAGTATGCAGAGACTAAGATATCATATTGCCAGGGAGGAAAAGAGCATAAACCAACAAGCCAATCCTAGCAAAATATAGAAACACCACAGCCTACATCCTCCCGGTTACGAAGAGACCATTCGAGGGAACTAGCAATACAAATTATAATGGAACATTACAACAACAACATTACCCTAGTACCGCAAAGGCTCCCACACCTATGGTGGGGTAAAGGGGTGGGATGTACGCAGCCTAAACCCTGTGCTACAGCACATAAAGACTGTTTCTAAATGACCCATGGTGAAAATCACATCGAAAATTGCATGGACTGACTGGTGTTTCATAACAAAGGAGCGGAAGCAGTTTAGTGAGCCATTTGCCTTTAAACCAAAATTGCATTAATAAAATAGCACGAAACCAACAATGACTAATCTTGACTCCTTGCTATCACGATTACACCCATTTGTGGGCACCAGACTAACATTCAAACATAACCATAATCATTATCCAGCATGTGAACTAAATTGCAAGATTGCAAGAAACTAACAATAGCTGATCTCTACTCATGCATACAAATTTCTGCAGCAGCATTTCACTTGCGCTTTAGAACTCAGAGATTCAGACAAAAGATAGTTCTCAGTCCAAGTTTAACACATGTGAGGCATTTGATATGCAAAAATTCATATAAATCATAGCAAAACATCACAGAAAGACGGAAAAGCAGACATGACTTCCAACATAACTCACCCTTGCCATGTTAAAAGAAGGGAATCTTGAAAATGCTTTTGATAAGACATCATCATTCACCTCGTTTCCAAGATCACCACAAAACAGGCGATAATCATCTGCAAAATGTGGAAGCTTCTGTTATCGCAACATGTTTATCACCCCTAGAGTTGAGAAATAGAGATTTAAGGAATGTTTCCAAAAACTTAAAAAGTGTTTTTCATCTTTTGGCTTAAAAAAGCTGAAATGAGTGTTTTCAAGACAACTTCTGCTTCAATTAAACACTTAAAGCTAAAAGCTCAAAGCAGGTGTAGAGGTGCTTTAAATTGATTTTCATTTTTACTATTACACAAAAAGTACTTTTTTACCAAACACTACCAACTTTTACTTGATCCAAAAAAAAAAAAACTCAACACTACCAACTTTTACTATTAAATGCTTTTTTCTAAAATCACTTTAAAAAACACCTTTTTAAAGTAGAAGCAACCGCAAACACTCCCTTAGTATTCCACATAATGACTAATGTGATCCCCACTCATCCATAGTTGTTAATGGTGCAAATGGCACGCGCCAATGCGCCATATGGCAATATGAAAATCCCTCGCCACAAAAGAGTCTTGGTGATGAGAATACACGTGGCTGCAACATATTGGCACCATCGCCACGCATGCCATTTTTTGGGAGCAGATTTTAACATGTTCATTTAATCATTTTTGGGCTTTGGCCCTGATTACTACTAACCAGTCAACCCACTCATAATATAAATAAAAAAAAAAACTAATAACCTAAGTAAATTAGGTTATAAGGAGTGTTTCTCAATGGCCTTAAAGAAGAAATTAGCATGGAGCTGAAGTTGTACCAGACCAGTGGGTTAACTGGTTAACTGATCTGATGGACAAGGCCTTGTTGTTGGAAGGGAAGAACAAGGTGTGGAAAGGAGAAAAAATATGGAAGAAGACAAAAAAAGCAGGAAGGAACAGGAAGGGGAAATGGTTAGACCTTGAACTGGGTGGAAGCAGCGAAGGGAAGAACACCTGCTGTGACTCCTGAGAGAACACATTCAGAGGGAACAAACTGGAGGAATCACCAAAACCAAATAAGACATGGGAGGAAGGCCAAAGATTGACACAAGCAAAGCAAGAAGAAAGAAGTAAAAAGGGTCTGTGCTTCAAATGTGGAGACAAATGGGATAAAGAACATGTTTGTGGAATGAAACATTATCAATTCGTTTGATGGGAGGACCAGAAGAAGAGAAGGGAACAAGTGATCAGCAGCCTGAACGGGATGTAGCAGATAACCCGCTAAAACCAAACCAGTTTCTTACTACCCACCTTGAGGACAAGGTGGTAGTTCAAGGGGGGAGTGATGATAGAGAGCTCAAACAATACAAGAATAAGAATACTATTAAATCTTTTAGTATTGTACAATAAAAGGGGTTTAGGCCTTATAACTAAATAAAAGTGGGCTGGACCATTAGAAAAAGAATAAATAGAGGCGGGCTGTGAATAGAGAGGAGACAGAATTTTGGGATGGGACTGAGATTTTGGGAGTGTGAGACTACTCGAAGTGTCTCAACTTTCTACTCCCATTATTTTCTATTTTACGTCATTAAATCTTCACCAATATACTACGAGTTTCTACTGTGATTGTTAAGCTACCTATCATTCATCAATTGGTCTGCTTCTCCCATGTGATCTGCCTCTTGCAGATAAATGACATGTCAACCAAAATAGATTTATCCTGATGGATTGATTTTTTTTATTTCAACAAGGTTAGAAACAACTGTCTATTGGTCTCCAAAAAAATTCGTGGCAAAATGTTAGATTCATAGCTCAGAAAAGTATTATATTGGGTTCCATAAAAAGGAAAATATGATGTCATATGGCATTTGTTTTATCATAAATTCAAGCTTGTCAGTTGTAACTTGTAAGTTGCTAGTACAGACTTTAATATTGATATATAATTCACCTTATCCCACTTTCATCACCTCAAAGATCACTAAAGTGGCATTGATTGCTCGATAAAAAGTTAATACCTGTCCCATTGTCTTTGTCTCATCTTTCTTTTTTGTGCGCCCCACTAAGCTTGACTCATGTAGAATTTGGTAATATTCGTGTAGTTCTAATTCATTCTTACAGTATTTCTATGTTACCAATGCAATACCAGCCAAATCATTTTTTTCCAATAATCGCATCACTTCTTAATGTCCCAATAATCCCAATATCAGTGAGACAAAGATTGTATTACTTTTGGAAGGAGCTGAGATAAAAACATTGCATATCTTCCAAACTATTTAGTTGTGAGTAGTCCCTACAATACTCTACATACCATGAGATCAGCACTATATGCTCATAAGTCATAGCCAAGTTTTCTATCACCATATATGCGAGAAAGTTTTAGTTCAAGATGTAATCTTTACTATTCTCATCAATTGGAGGTTAAGCTAAGGTGGTTTTCTAAGTAAATTGTCATAGGTCATAATCTAAATTTGTAAAAGAAAAAAATGCTAGACTGTTTTCCCTCACTAATGAAAACCTAGTGATATCTTCCATTGCTATCAGTTTAACATGAAATTTTGTCTACACCCGAAGAATCATATATAAATTGAAACAGCTAGAAAGATTAAGTTAAAGTGCAAATAAGCAGAAATAGACTGCTGTGAATAGCAGACTGGAAATAAATAATGGGTTACGAGAACATACTTTCTGGCCAATCAGCGAGAGTGGGGTCCTCCCAACTTTGCCCTGCGGCTTTACGGGGCAATGATTTCTTCTTAGCCTCCACTTTATGCTCAATATCACTGCTTGCAAGTGCAGCTTTCACATTTTCGAGTGCTTCTGGCGTAATTGTTTGGGCATCCCTTTGAAACAGCTGTTGTGCCTGTCAATTGAAACAAAATATAATATACGAAAACGTACAATTGCGGCTGCATATAGCTACGTGCCTTGTCAAAATCGGGCGTTTCTATAGAATATTTCAAACACTGGGTGATTTAAATGCTTACTTGTTGGAACTGAGGCAACGAATACACGCCAGGTAGAGGGGGCGGAGGTGGATATACAGTAGGAACAACGGGAGGGGCAGGGAGCTGACTCGGCGGGGGGGCAGCGCCGATGTATGATTGCGACGGCTGCTGTTGGAGGTGAAACGGCGTCGGGAAGTATGTGCCATTGGAGTACGTGTACTGCGAAGAAGATGACGAAGCAGCTGCGGATGTTGAAGGCACCGTCGACATCGCGGGTACAGCGAAGAATTGAGAGAGAAGGGAGATGGAGAATAGGGCAGAGCGTTCTAGGCGATACTTTGCCTAGTGCCTAACTGACTATCTGCACAAAACGGCGCCGTATGCCTCTTTTTCTCCCTTTTTAGCCCGGACCGCGAGAACTCAATTAACTGAATTAAGCCCTCTAATTAAAATAAACTTTTAATTAAGTGACTTAATCGAATGATTCTATTGAAATTTATAAAGACCTGATGAAGCGTTTGGAATTTGGATTGGCTGATTATGTTGATTTATAAAGATTATTTAAACACTTGTTATTAATAAAATAAGGAAAAAATTATATGAAAATGACTAAAATGGTCCTATATAATAACTTCAACCAATGGAACCATGAAAGTAACTTAAACCTTACTTATTTTTATTGTCACAAACTTCAACGAGTGAAAATCAAAAGTTACATGTTTGGTGAAAAAGTTGGTGACTGATAGGCTGAAAAATAGAGTCACCAAACGGGACCTAAAGCAGTGAACTTTATTTAAAAAAAGCCAAATTTATAATCTGGTAAGTTGATTTCTGATGATGTGCTTGAGTTGTAATTTAGGTGACTTTTTTTAAAAGAAAACTATCTAATCTTTATTAATAAAAACCATGGTTCAAGGAAACTGTAATACAAGGGGATAATTAAAAGGTCGAACTTGACGATCAGATAAAGAAACAACAGTTTTTGCAAGATCATGAACCACATCACTCGATCAATTCAGGTGACTTGTTTTAATGTATTTCCTTTTCTTTTTCCTTTTTTGTCATGTTTCTTACTTCTTCTAGGCAAGCAAGACCCCCCCCCCCCCCCCCCCGTTTTCTTCATCCATGAAAGTAACAACGACCACCTCATCCTCATGTGCTCTATCTAATTACCTCCTCCTCCTCCTCCTCTTCTTCTTGACAGTCGACGTCGGCTTGAAAGATCTAGATGGTTTTGTGATGCGAGTTAAGGAAAATATAGTATGTTAGAAGCTTACTTAGTAGGCTTCAAAAGTTCAACTTCACTTCTACATCGAGAAGAGTTGATACAAAATGTGGCATTGTTCTTTCAATTCGTTAATTGTATCTAAATTGTAATAGGTGTCCTGAATCCCTTGTGAATAGAAGATTGCATTATGGGCTATCCGGAATTGGTATTTGTTATTTGGACTCTTATTTTCCATTCTCGTGTTTTGACTATACGATCAATCTTTTGCTTCGTTACCCTTTTGTAGATGTTGGTTCTTGTCCATACATTTTTCAGGGTTTGGGACATGGCCATTTGGGAATGTGAAGTGATGAGGGTACTCTACATCTCTATATCATTATAAATTATTAACTATATACGATGGCTTTTGAGTTTTGCTGTTTTGGAATTTGGAGTTGTAAATTTGCATTTCAAGTCATTCACTATTGTAATTAATGAGTGAATGTGCTTGAATCAATTTTTTACACGCATGTTAAATGTGTGATGGTATATGAAAGGTGTTTCTTAGAAACCAAATCAACCTGATATCCAATCTGATTTGTACTAAATCAAACTTCACAAAAGTTGAACACTATTTCCCTATTTTTTTCATAAATCCGGGTATACATATAATACACCCAAAATTTGGAAGGGGTTGGACTTCAAAGACCTGCCTGCCCTGTGACCCTGATTAATGATCCTCATATTCTTATCAAAAGTTAAAGTTAATGATCCTCATATGCGTTTCTACCACAATGATTACTATTTTTCTTTTGACTTTATGTTGGCCGTCAAAGTGATTCTGCCAAGAATCTCTAGGCGAGTTCCTGACATATGTTGATGCTTCCCTTGAGCGGTCAATTGAATCACTAGTAAATGGGCCCCTCAAGTATGAAGAGGAACCATCGGCACAAGTATTTGTCTGAGGCGCCGATCATGAGCAGGCTATTCTGTTAGTGGACGTAGTGCTCATGGGGGTCCGTTTTACCCTTGTCTGGTTTGATAGCCTACCCTCACCCCCTCAATACTTATGAAGGATTTGTGCATCTCGAAGTCGATGGGTGAATTGAAGGGATCCTCGTTCTGGATCGATACCTTCTGGAGGAGAAAGTGACCATAGGGTCTGGTTGGGGGCGTGAGCCCCTATTGTTGTTGATTTGCCTCCATCTCGGTGAGACGCCTCTCGAGCATCTCGATCATTTCACCATGGTGATCCTTTCTGAGTGTGTCAGGTTGATTTGTGATGAGCATCGTCCTCGCGTATGACCCTCTTCCGTTTTGTCTTGGTGTGGGGTGATGGCTTGAAATCAAGGGCACAGAGCACCTGTTGTCTTCCTAAGCGGAGTAGTGGGAAGGAGGTGTCTTCCAGGAGCTGCGCCGCTCTTGGATCTACTATCGCTCCCGTTTGTCCTCCAAATGGTCAAAAGCTGAAGAGTGAGGTCTGCCGGGCAGAGGGAATACCTGATCAGACGAGGGGGCTTGCTTTGGTTGGAGAGTGGGGGTGGTGTAGTGGCGGAATAGTCATGTTCTCTCATTCGGGGAATGCATGGTTCACCAAGTTGGTGAGGATGATGGAAATCTTTGTCTACACTTTTCTATTTGACATAATATGCTCAAGGATGCTTTGTGTTGTTGATTCTGTTAGGCAGCTCTTTATAACGTGGGGCGGTCAAATGCGTCAATTATTCCAACTTCTAGTAGTTGGGAAAATGTGTTAAAAATTGCATTAAATGGGCAATTTGGGGCAATAATTTGAGTGGGATCCACTTCCGATTTGGGTCGGGTCAAAGTGGTTTCAGCTTGTTCTTGCTAAAGGCTACAATTTGATATATGGTACACTCAAAACGCATAACGGGTGAATGAGAAATTGATTCTCGAAGTCCACTCGTTGAAACGGAAAAGTTGGGAAAAATCATGGGTTTTGAGTGTGATTTATCCCACACCGGAAAACCCGAGGGATTTTCACCCTCTTATAAAGGGAACCCTCTTTGAAAGAGTTGAGATTCTTAGGTGGAAGGGCTCTCTTCGTGCGCGGGGGGGGGGTGCCGATCAAATCCCGAAAACGGAGAAGAAAAAACTGCGACATGCGGACACGAATGTCGTCCGAAAATTGTATCTTTCAAAGATACGATTTAATTTTGTTTCTTCCCGTGACGTTTTTTCCCCGCATCAGATTGCTCGGATCAGAAGGCTCCGCATTGGAAGGCTTCTGATTAACACGTTTTCTATAAATAGATGGCAGGTGCTTTGCAACAACACATGCAATCATACACAATCTACACGAATTTCTTCAGCTACAAACACCTCAGCTCCTTGAAATATTCCTTAGTGTTCTAGTTGTGTTTCTGTTCGCCAGAACTATCGTTTGTGTGCTCAAATGATCGTCCGTTGGCCACCGTATCCTGGGAAATGGTCATTGCAACGCTCCTATCACCGTGGGAGACGACGAATACATTTTAAGGACATTGTGCATAGAACAAACTCTGGCTAATTTCTATTCCATCTTATTTCCTGTTTTTCTTTAGCTATTTTGTTAATTTTAATTAATTGATTTTTCTTTGTTTTTCGAGAACACACCCAACACTACTTCTATGAATGCATCATTCTCGGTGTGGATAGAAGTTGCATTGTTGATAGAAGAAGAAGAAAAGTGGTGGTAGGTGATTGGTAGTGGATATGCAAATTTAAGATGTAGTCTTCGTTAGGAATTCTCAATTTGTGAAGTGATCACGTTTTGCATCCTTCAGAACTGTGAGTTATTGGAAGATGAAGTTAGACATTGACTTGCGTGACATCCAAGGGTATGACCCTGAAGTGTTCATCATTTACCATTGGTGATGTGTAAATAAAGGGTTGTGTTCATTAGACTCACATGATATGGTGATGGGAAGAGGTTGCTACCTCTTTGGGCAGCGTGATTTGTAGGGCAATCGATTTCGAATAGTATTATGAATATTCGTCTTTTCTAAGTCCCTACATAGCAACTCCCCATCCATCTCATTCCATAAGGCTCGTTGTTGGATTTTCTATGCCTGGTTAACGTTTTCACTAATATAGTACATAGTTTATCTTCAATAACTATACAAATAGAAATGCAATTCTAGATAATAGAATTTATCGTTTTAAATTATGATCATTTCTTTCCGAAAACGGTTGGTGGATATCTTAATATCTTCTTGAAACTGGTGTTGTACAACATTGTCTATAAATACTAAAACTATCAGAAAACTCTACGTAATGAGGTGCTTATGTGACTTAGATCTTAATCAATTCCCTATAACTACCTACAAATATTGTCGTTGCGAGAGTAAGTGCCTAAATCCTTAGATACCATCTCTTAATTGTGATGGTTGAAAGTCTCCATGATGTTGTAATTCACAAAACTACATTTGACTAAGTCGGTATAAGGTACTTTTTTCTTTACATGATTTTTCTACCTAATATTAGGCGAAATTGATAAGATTAATCCCTACATTTACCAATTATACAAAAATAATCCATACTTCACATTTTTACATCAATAATCCAAACCTGTCATCCATCCGCCGGAATTAGAATAAGTGAGACGGACTTGTATTTCCGTCCAAATGAGAGTTACGTGAATCTAGCTAGAGCAGATATAATTTTTCTCGATCCTCCTAGTATTTCATCTCTATCTCTAAAACCTAAATTGCCTAATTAGCACATGTCTTCCTGCGATTGTGAGAAATCAGTTTAAAATTAAGCACCTCTTAAACACAAACATCCAAACAAAAAGTGAGGTGCAACAATGACGTTTCTTCACAGTTGCAGAGACGATTTCCTCGGGGAGAAACGAGGGAAATAGATTTATGGCTGCCTCATATGGAAGTTAAAACAAATACTACGCAGAATTTATGTAGTTATGAAAGGCCATAATCTAATTACTTTTGAATTTTAGACATAAAAGCTATAAAAAACTTGAACCTTAGTGTATTCGAATTGTTGTTTGAATTTTTTGTTTTGATTTTGCAGAGTGGTGAGTGTATTTTTTTCTTATGGGAACAGGTCTAATTGAGTTGTTGTTGGAGAAAGTGGTATGTCCACTTTGATTTATGCTCTACGTAAATTGTGAACGGGTTAAAGGAATGAAAATCTTAAAAGCGAGCTGGAGAAAACTTAGGCTGTG